AAAATGTATTGCCACTCACTCCTCTCCTATGGCGTGGGGGGAGGAGCAGGAGGGCAGGGAATGTGGGTGGGGAGGTTTAGGGGGTCTGGAAGCCCAGGCTGTGTTCAGAAAGCCCCAGATACAGGTATGTGGCAGGGGGAAGCATCCTCCTCCCTCTGGGCTCCCCCTACCCCTCTTGTGCCCCAAGTACTGGGTTACTGCCCCCGGTCACTTGTCACAGAATAGGAGAGGGTCACCGGGCCCCCATGGCCTGCAGGCCACCCTAGTGGAGTATGGATGGTTCCTTGGGGGTCTCATGAAATGCCTGGCTAGGGGGTCAGCCCCATGGACTGGGGGCTTTCTCAAGGATACTGGGGGGGGTGGTGCTCCAATGCAGCAGAGTGAGCAGTGTGGGGTGTCCCAGCCATCATTTCCACATTACCTGTTTCCCTGTGCCTTCTCCTAGAGGCCCAGATGCCACCCCCCCCCCCCGCCACCCACCCCAAAGCCCATCTCCCTTTGCCTGCCCAGCTGTTGGTTCGGATGCAACCCCTGTTCCTATTGCATCGTGGGAAAAGAGAGGCAAGGCTGAGAATTCACTCCTCTGGGATGCACCCCCATAACCTCTATCTTGCCGGCTCCCAGGAACAGGTGAGGGCTGGGTGGCACATTTGGGGAGGCCAGGTAAGTGGTTAGGATCTGCTGTTCCAAGCCCCACCCAAACATGCCAGCTGCCTCCTCACGACCAAATACACTGCCAGAGACACAGGGGAGGAGGGCCAGAGGGAAGTTACCTGTTGAGGAATGAGAGTGGGGGTGGGGTGGCACCTGAGGCATCTCAGGTGGAGGCAGCTGGCACATTGGTTGTGCCTGGGCACCATGCCAGCTTACAGGAGCAATTCTCATCTCTCAGCTGAATACCTGTGTTGCTTTCACCCTGATCAGTGGAGATGGTGTCCCCAGCCTTCTTGCTTCATCAAGAACCCCTTCTTTTGAGATCTGATGGGAGGAGGGAAAGGCACTCATGTTTCCTGGGGTCAGTGAGGAGTGGTGGTGCCAGGTCATCTGTCCTCTGGCTCCACATTCAGCCTTGGGGCCTTGGCTTCTATTCAGGGAGCTGTATCCCATCTTACCCTTCTGGGGGACCCAGAAAGTCAACTGGGTGGGGTGGGTGTGGACAAAACATCTTTGGGGAGGAGAGGGGAGAAGGGTCTCAAGTGAGCTGACAGCTATGAAGATGATCAGAAATGCTAAGGATTCATCATTAAATTGAGCTTTACACATTAAAAATATTACATAAATCTGATTTTAAGTTTCTTACTATGGAGGTGGCCTTCACGATGAGCGAGCTCACCTTAGGGCAGGCAAGAATGGATTCTTTGTTCTGGTGACACCTTTGGAACTGTTCCCCATCCTGGGGGCTGCTTCACAGAACCTTTCCACCCAACCCCGAGCCAGTGGGGTTGGCAGACAAACCTCCACTCGATGGCACAAGCATCTTTTCTTTTCTTTTTCTTTATTTTGGGGACGGAGTCTCGCTCTGCCATCAAGCTGGAGTGAAGTGGCATGCTCTCCTCTCACTGCAATCTCCACCTCCTAGGTTCAAGCAAGTGGTTCTCCTGACTCAGCCTCCTGAGTAGCTGGGACCACAGGTGTACCACCATGCCCAGCTAATTTTTATATTTTTAGTAGAGATGGGGTTTCACCATGTTGGCCAAGATGATCTCTTGACCTTGTGATCTGCCAGTCTTGGCAGCATCTTTCCAAGTGTCAGCTAGAGGTAATGCCTCAAGTCACTCTCCCCACGACAGGACCCGATCCCTGTCCCTGTCCGGATTATTGGCATGGCTGAACATCTGAACTCTCAGCCACATTCTTTATCCCAGGCCAACTGTATGGTTATGAGATTTTGTGTGCCAGGAGTTGTGCCTGCTGTGGCGGCCCACAGGGTTATGAGAGGATGGTGATAGAAGAAAGGCAGGGAGCTTTGGCATAAGGCAGGTGTGGGTTTGAATTTCAACTTTGTTGCCCTTACAGTGGGCAATTGGCTATACCTCTCTGATACGGGGTTGACAATGCTCACTTCTGTCAGGCTGTTGAAAGGGTTAGAGATTATGGGTAGAGCACCTGCTGATTTTCTTCCCCTTAGGCTCAAAGTGAAGGAGGGAAGAAATCTTGTCCCTTGGGGGGAATCCGAGTTTCGGGGAGGTGAAGGGCAGTAGTCCAGCACAGTCGGTCTGTGGGGAGTCTGAATGGAGGAGCAGCTTATGCCAGAGTGCTGGGCTCCCAGCTGCTTGGGAGGTGGTGTCCGTGTGCTGAGGGGAAGCTACTCCTGCCTCCCCTGAGCCTCCCCTACATAGAGCCTGATGCCTCCCATGCCCATCCTGGGCAGGCAGCCAGGCAGGGTGCTGGATGGATGCCCACTGTGCATTCAGAAGCCAAAAGATGGGCACCATCCAGTTGGCAGAGGGAAAGGCAGTTGGCCCAGGAGGGAAGAAGTCAGGGTGCCGGCCGCTGGGGTCGTGTGCCCAGACCGTGTGTCCAGGACACAGCTCTTGGCTGTCCTCCTGATCTGTCCCGCTGGGGCTGGAAAGGGCCTCTCCTCCTCTGGTCCTGGCCCTGCCACCTGAGTTACTGCAATTGGTTGTTGATCTCTAAGGGGCATCTGGGATCTTGTTCCTAGCTAGGCATGTGGCTGGCTCAGGGGCAGGCCTGGGGGTGGACAGGAAATTGGGAGAGCCCAGATTAAGGTTGCAACTGGGTAGACCAGGAAGTGGGGAAACGGGTTTGTCATTTAGGCCACTTGGGGTAGGGTCTCCTCTCCTGGGCTCTCTGCCTGCCTGCCACTGCCTAGTGAATAGATATGTACGGTGTCCCCTCTCTTGCTCATCTAAACTGCTTTTGGAAACGCCAGAAGTAAATAAAAGGGGCAGGGGACTCAGCCCACCTTCTCCTCTCCAAGAAAGCTTGAGAAAGAAGGGACTGGCCAGAGAATCGGAGCGAGGGAGGGAGGAGGCCGCTGGAGCACGAGGTGTCGGCGCGGGCCCGGGTCCGGGTCTGGGTCAGCGCTGGAGAAGTCTGCAGAGCCAACAGGTAGGCCAACGAAGGCGGGGCGCGGAGGGGCGGGGGACGCCGGGGTGGAACAGAGCTGGTGCTCTGCGGGCTGCGGTAGAGGCGGCAGTGGCGCCGCCAAGCGATGCTTGACCAGGGACAGTCGCTGGGGCGTCCTTCCATGGGGTCTCACAGGCCAGAGGAGCACGGAAGTCCTCTCTGCCAGCACTTTCGCCTGCAGTTCCCGCGCACGCCTGCAGGAGGGGCCGCAACCCGGAGCGGGGGCCAGGAGGCGGCCCAGCAGAGGGCGACGGGGAGCCCAGTCCCTCTGACCTAGCCGCGTTTAGCCGCCGGGGGGTGAGGGGTCTCGCGGCAGAAGAAGCAGAAGCAGAAGAGGGTCCAGGCGCTCCCGGCCTGGGGCGGCTGTTGGTTTCCGAGGTCACCTTGACTGAAGAGAGCCCCCAGTCTCGCCGCTCCGCCTCCCCACCCCGCCTCGAGAGCCTTTCCATCTCTAGGCAGGCCGGGGCTGGGAGACTCAGGAGTCCTCCATTCTCCAGGTGTCCCCGCTCCCCCGGTTGCCACCTTCGCGCTGGTTCCCGGTCAATGCATTTGTCTCTATAGTGGCGCGAAGACTGCTAGGGGTGGAAGAAGCAGGTGGCGCGGGGAGGAGAGAGTGAGCGCACTCGGCGCCCAGCCCCGGCCGCGCGCTGCGGGATCCCGCGGTGCAGCCCGAGGGCGCGAGAAGGCGCAGTACCCTCTCCCCTCGCCTTCCCTCGCCGCCCCAGGCGGCCCTTTGTACGTTCCGGCCACACGCGCGCGCCCGCGTCGCGCGCGCGCCCGCCCGCAGTGACACACCCGCGCCGGCCCGAGCGCGCGCGCGCGCACACACACACACACACACACACTCGCTCTCGCACACTCGGTGACACGCCCGCGCGCGCGCGCACCCACACGCCCGGCCGCCGGCGCCCTCCCAGCTGGTCCACCCAGGCGGGGCCCGCGCCCCCCGCCCGCCCGCCTGGCACCGCGCCCCAGGGCTGGGGCCGAGCGAGGAGCCCGCGAGGCAGCGAGAGGGCGAGCGCCAGGCAGGCCGGCCCGGGGCCCCCGCCCCCCGCGCCCCCGCCCGATGGGGAACGCTCCGTCCCAAGGCATGTCCCTGTCTCTCTCCTCCCTAATGTGCCTCCATGCTTAAGTGGAAGGTATTTCTGTTTTCTTTGTGTGTTTTCCCCCTCGGCCGGGGGCGGGGGCGGCGGCCGGGCCGGGGAGGCGGTGGCCGGCGGGGCGAGGGATGCTGGGCGCAGGTGTGTGGGGGGCAGGGGACCGCTGTGCGCCGGGCTTGGAAGAAGGACCAGGGCGAGAGGAGTGCTGGGACCAGAGAAGGGGGCAGGGTGGCGAGGCAGGAGACTGGGTGGGGAGGGCCTCGCGGCGCCACGGGGTGGGGGCCAGAGGGGTTCTGTAAAGGGGCTTATGTGGAGGGGGCAGGGGAGGGGAGAAGAAGGAGGATGGATGGAGAGGAGGGTGGAGAGAGGCGGGCGTCCATCCGAGGTGAAGAAAGAGGAGGATGCAGGGGGAGGGGAAGAGGATGGAGAAGTGAGGGGTGCTTCAAAGGCCTCCCTCCCCCAACTCCAAGAATGGGATGCTTGCGCTGGGATGGTGGCGGTGGCCCTTTGCGCCAGCCCCCAGGGAAGGAAGGGGATGTGTGCGTTCTGGGGTTGGCCGCGTTGCCAGGATACAAGCCTGTGATTCCACACACCGCCCCCCCCCCCCCCCCGCACCTCGAGGCCCTAGCCCTAGAGACCTCTCAGCCTCAGCAGCAGTTGCAGAAACTGGGGACCAGCTCCCCGCTCTACCGGCGGGTAGGGAGGGCCCACGAGAGGGAGGGGTTTAGGGAGGGACTATTTGATTTTAACCCCTCCCCTGCAGAGGCCAGAGGGCAGGGGAGGGCGCCCCCAGCTGGGGAGGGCATCTAGGGTGAGTGAGAAGATAGGAAGGCAGGCGGCTGAGGAGTATAGGGTGGGGCTGGGAAGGGGACGCACCATGGCCCCCCCTCCCCTCCCACGCACCCCCCTGCTACGTCAGAAGCTCCCGGGCCAGCTCTGAGTCCTGTCGGTGGGGGCAGCAGGATGCTGGTGGAAGCAGAGGGGACCGGCCGGGTGCCTCCGCAGCTCGGCTGGCAGGGCCCGGCGGGGCGTGTGTGGCTGCTGGTGCGCGCCCCCCAGCCCCACGCCTCCCCATGCAGCCCTGGCAGTGCCTCCGGCGCTTTGCCCTGGCCTGGTGGGAGAGGACGGCGGAGGGCAGAGCCCGCTCTCCCAGGGAGGAGGCTGGACCGAGGGACTCTGGGGGCCGAGGGGAGCCAGGTGAGCAGTCCCCGGGAAGTGTGCAAGGAGGGGGATCCTGGACTGTCTTCCCAGCCCCCTCCTCAAATGTTGTGGGACCAGGAGGTCCTGCAGCACCCCAACTTTAAGGGAAGTGGGCTCCCTGAGCTGGGAGGGTTTCTGGCAGCAGCCTTTCAAGAGGAGATGGAGGAGCTGCTGTCTCTTTCAGGGAAGGGGGAAACAGGTGAGGGTTGGGAGTGAGGGAAGCTGACCAGACTTCCAGGTTTGTGGGCCCGAATGTTCCTTTGGGTGGGGTTTGAGCACTTTTGAGGGGTCATCAGGATACCTTCTTCCCAACTCTTGGTATCTTGGTCTGGATGACCTTGAACCAACTGCTTTGCTGTCTAATTCCGTGCCTCAGTTTCTTTTATTCCCTTCCTGTTCCCTCTTGTTGGTCTTTAAAAATTGCTGATGAATTTGCTGGAGATTGTGAGGCTCCATCACCACTGGTGGCAGCTGTGATGGTGGTGGTTTCTGGTGTGGTTGTATGTGGGGAGCAGCTGTGGTGCATGTGAGGGGTTCTGCTGGTTCTGGTTGGTGATGGGCTACTCCATACAGGTGTCAGGGACACAGGAAGGAACATTCTGACAGGGAGGAATGCTCCAGGCAAGCTGAGAGTTGCTGAGGCAGAGACTTAGCTGGTGGCCTGGGTAGAGCAAGGGATGGGGTGAGGGCAGGGGAGGGGTTCCAAGAATAAGATCCACCACCACCACCACCACCACCCTCCTCCCCCCGCCCCCACCATCCCCACCCAGACTGCCTGGCACCCAGGCACCATTGGTAACAAGTGCAAAGGCTTTGCCCTGGCTTCCTGCCACCATGCCTTGGGGACAAGAGGGTCTTTGTCCAGTACCCCCCTACAACAATTCCTGCTCCTTCCGCCTTTTCCATGATGGCTGGTTCTCTGTGATGACCCTCAGAGCTGGGATGGAGGCGCAAATCCCCCTTCTGGCTCCCACTGTCTGTGTCCTGGAGCTCTGTCTGGAAGAGGCAACTGTGGTCCTCCGGGAGTGCTGAGTGGAGGGGGACGCTCCTCTAGGGGAAGAGTGGCTAGAATGAGCCCCTCCGACAGCTACCCTCACCTCAGGCTTTCACCCTGCCCTTCTCCTTGCCTTCTTGCCAAACGCAGAGGGTCTGGGGTCTTCATGGCCTGACCCCTGCTGGGTTTCAGGTGTCTTAAAAGATGTGCAGGGTACTGGGTTAAGCGATGGGATGCAGGGCCTCTCTGATTCTCGCTCTCTCCCTCTCTCTCTCTCTCTCTCTCCCGCTCCTCCCCCAACTCTCTCTTTCTTTCTCGCCAGGGACCCACCCTGGAAAAAGGGTTTAATTAGAACCATTGATTCCATCTTTGGCTGTGGGCATTGATCTCGACAGTGTGGTCAGAGCTAGAGGATGGGGTGGCATGGCTGCCATCTGCCCATGCCAACCTTGGCATTCTCTGCCAAAACCCCAGCCCTGGAAGTGCTTAGGAGGGAGGGGGCTGGGCTCTTTGAAGTACCCAGTTTGTTGAGCCCCACCCCCACTCCAGGTTAGGTTTTGGGGAAAGAAGGGAGACAGTGTTGAGGATTTGAACTGAGGGAGCTGAGTTTGGGGGCCCAGGAAGAACAGTTCATGGTGTCTGTCATCCTGGGTAGTGGGCATGGGGCACAGGAAGAGGTGGTTGTGGTAGGGGCACCTCCTGCAGAGGGGCCTGTGAGTGCTGGGCAGGCAGGGACTTCAGGGGAAGGAGCCAGGGCTTGCCACAAAAGCTGCTCTTTCGAGGAATCCCAAGCACTTATCTCCTCCAAGCCCTGGCAAGGAGATCTGTTTTCTTCCTTCATTTATGTCCTTGAGGTCCAGAGAGGGACAGAGACTACCTTAGAGGCCCAGCAGACTTAGGTCTAGCTTCAAGCCTGGTTTCCTGGCCGAGGGGCCCCTGCTGGGCACAGGGTGCTGAGGGTGAGGCTCCTGGTAGCCTAGGCTCTGGACTCTAGGAGTGGGGGTGGGGTGGGGGGTCAGGTTGTGCCCCCCCCCCAGTCCTGGCTGCCTGCTGTGGGTGGGCTGGTGCAGGTGCAGGCTTCAATGAAGCACTCAGACGCTCTTTGAAGAATCCCTCATTGGCTTCCTAGGGCCCATTCGAGCAAAGATAATAAAAATCTGGCCGTCAGCGGGTTTGAGGGCTGTACTGGCTTCCCCTTCTTTCATTTCAAGCTCTGAAAAGCGGAGATGAAGGCTTTGGATTTGGCTGGGAAGCAGTGCCTGCCCCGAGGGAGGAAGGGAGGGAGGCAGTGAAGGAGGGAGGACTGAGTTCCTGGCATGGGGGGGATGTTTCTAGGGAAGTGGGCAGAGGGGCAGGGGCATGGCCCCCAACACCTGCCAGGCAGCCTAGAACCTCAGGGTCAGAGTTCCTGTAACCTAATACCTGTTCTCCAGCATCCTCCTCAGTTCTGGGGGCTCCAGAGCACTCCCCTGGATGCCCTCAGTCTTCCCCCTCCCCCATCTCTCCTGCTCTCCGGTGTGCCATTTCATCTCCCCATTCCTCCCATCCCGCTCCCTGCCCCTCAATTTCTCCTGCACTGCCCTTCCTGCTGTCTCTCTCTCTAACCCTGTCTCCTTGTCTCTTCTGCCTCCCCTTTCTCCCTCTGACTGCCCCTCCCATCGCCTGCCTCTCCTTCCTTTCCCCAGCTCTGGCCCTGCTTTCAAGGACTGAAGGTTGAGAAGCCAGGTTGGGGGCGGGAAAGTGGCCTCAGAAGGGATGGGCCTGGGTTAACTATTATGGTCTGTCAGGTCCCATAATTGTCAAAGTCCAGGCAGGAAGGGCTGCTGAGCACTTAGGAGTGTGTGTGTGTGTGTGTGTGTGTGTGTGTGTGTTGAGGGCGCCATCCCCGTCCCCACACCACTGCAGGCACCTTGCCCTGACTTTGGGCTGTTTCTCCCCTGCCTCAAACACTCTAGTTTCCCTGCTCTCCTCCCCTGCCCCTGGGATTTCTCCTTGCCTACCTCCATCCTCCCACCCCTCCGCCCGTTGTCGTTGTCGGCCCCGCAGGTGCTATGCTGCCATTGCACTGCCCCTCACACCCAACAGACCATCTCCAGGCTCAGAGGCAGGGAGAGAGGCATCCAAGAGGCCTCTAAGCTCCATCTCCCACCCTTGTTTCTGATGGGCCTGCCTGGAACCCCATCCACACTGTGGGGCCCCTGTGCCATGTTGTAAACCCCCCAGCAGAAAGACAAGACCCTGGTAGAAAAAGCAGTGCGCTAAGTCAGGAGAGCTCATTCTTATCCTTCCTCAGTGCCCAAATGTCTTCGTGACCTTGAGCAAGTCCCTTCCCAGCTGGGCCTCTTTTCTCACCTGTGAAATGAGGGGGCGTGGGCTGGCTGATCTCCAAGGTCTCTTGTGACATTCCAGCAGTGTTGTGTCTCTCTTCTGGGTGATTTGCATATGCTTTGCATATATTAATGGTGCCTGCTTGAAGGGGGAGGGTGCCGCCCACACCAGGCCCAGAGTCCCACCCACCATTCCAACTCCCCTTGCCCATTGGCCCATGCTTTTGCTGCTCTGATTTCCCAGAGGGGTGAAAGCTGGGCCTGAGCATTCCCTGGGGAGGTAAGTCCGACCGCTGTGTTCCATCCATGCTGGGGCAGGGTGGGCCATAGAGGAGGTGACCCCTGCCCTCAGCACTCCTGCTCCAAAAGGTCAAAACAGAGAAGCCATGTGGTGGGTGAATTCACCAAAGTTGCCTGTGGCTAGGATGGGGTGTGCAAATCCCCACGGAGGCCGGATCCTGCCACAGGCAGAGGGGCTTGTGGCTGCATGCCCTTCCAGGGCTGTTCGTCCTCTGCCGGGAGTCAGAGCTTCCCCTCTGGCTTCACCTCCCAGGCTCAGACAGGGCAAGTCCTGTCCTTGTCCCCCTGCCTGCTTTTGCCCATTCCCCTGGGCTCTGAGTATGTGTGTGCTGAAACCTGGGCCTCCGAGATGGTCACTGAGAAGGACTAGGTCATTCATTGCCTCTCTGGGCCCTCTGTGGCTCACAGAGAAGGTGGGGCCCAGGCCCCCTGCAGGGGTCATGGACATTATGAGGGAGGAGAACCTGCCACCTCAGTCCTGCCCCTACCTCCAGCAGCCCCTCCTGATCTTGTGGGGACCTTCCCCAGAGCCTCCTCCCATGCCACCCTCAGCTCTTCATTGGTTCGTTTTATCTACATATCTCCCCTCACCTGGGTCCACTGGGTCATGAGAAGAGTCTCTGAAGACAGGAACAGAAATGCCCTCCCCCACCAAGGAGGGCTGGGCCAGAGAAATGCAGCAAGAGAGATCAAGGTTAGACTTAGTCTTAAGGAAGGACTGTCCCAGGGGGCAGATTTGTTTCTGATCCTGGAATTGTTGTGAGATTAAATGAAACAACAGATTTTGAAAACATCCCTCATAGTGCCGGACACATAATAAACAGTCAATAAATGTGATGGGATGGGGGACAGATGTCTCTGAACCCAGAGAAGACTCTTCTCTAAGCCTGAGGCTTAGTCAGGATTTTGCAGAGGATGAGGACTTGGAGGGGCAATTCCTAGAAGAGCTGTTTCCCCATACTCAGGCTGCTGCCCCTCACCCTACTCTTCCTGGCCCCACGCATGCACTGGGCTTGGAGCCCAGCCACCCTGGGACACCCTGCCCTCATCCTCTCTGCTGGGGGTGGGCAAACAGAAGGGTGTGGAGGCTGGAAACCTGCTTTTCTCCCCCTGCCTCCATCTCTGCATAGGACAGCTTGAGAGGAAGCAGGCCCACGCTGTAGTAGGAGGAATCAAGGTTAGATAGGAAGATAAACCTCCCGGCATGTGGCCACTTCAGGATGGGAGGCTCTGGTGGTATTTTTGCGTCTTTCACCTCAGTGACAGTGGTCTGTGAGCACTGTAGGCTAGTCTTGGACCTAGGGGCAGGGGACTGGTCAGCATGACCTTTCAGATGACCTCTAGGCATCCTGAGGCATTTGGCTGGTGTGGTGGACAGAGTGCAGGGGGCCCTGCTGGGGAGGAGTCCAGTGCTTTGGGAGAGGGAGAAGAGGAGGAGACAGAGAAGCTGCTCCTCTGCTCCTCAGAGCAGAGAGGTAAATTGTAAAGAAGCATTGGGCTGGAGTCAGCTGGCCTGTCTCCCCTACTGCTGTGTGACCTTGGCAATTTAGTTGCCCCCTCTGGTCTTCAGTGTCCTTGGTATAAGAAAAGAGGGTGGGACTAGAAGACCTTCAAGCTCCCTTCCAGCACTCCCAGGCTCTCTCTACCTCCTCTCCTTTGAGATAATATTGCTTTGCCACATGGAGGGTGGGAAGATTGTTTCCCAGCTTCAGCTAAGCAAAAGAAAAAAATGGAGATTTGGCCCAAGAGAATATTAGAATACATACACACACACTCTCACTCATTCCTTACAGATAGCCTCCCTCCTGTTGTGAAGACACACCTTGCCTACAGCTGCCCTCCCAGTCCAGGGGATGGAGAAGGGAGTGGCTAGAGGATTCAGCTGTCCTCTGAATTCTAAACGCACTGTTTTCCTCCCACCCCAGCAGAACTGGCTTTGCCACACTCCATTCCATCCAGGGACTAAAATCCAGTCCGGGTTTTCTTCCACCAGGCCCTTCCAGCTGGTGGCTCAGCTTCCCCACAACCTTATCCTGGCTCCTGGTAGCCTCGGCCACCCACTTCGGTTGCCTGCATGTCTTGGTGTGAAGTAAACCAAGACTGGAAGGGAGTTGGGTTTTCTCTTGCCTGTCTTCCTCACCTCTGCAAACGAACTCATTCCAGAGCACTGGCTTCTTTTCCATTCCAGCTGGCAAAACATGCTGAAAACCACAGACCCAGGGAGTCACAGAGGGTCCCCCAGACTCAGTTTATAGAGAGATCCCAGACCCAGAGACGCCGCAGAAGAGCCTAGCTGTTTCTGTGCAGAGCTGGGGAGATTGGGAGGTGGGGACGTGTTCTGCAGTCTCCCCTCACCCCTAGGGTGCATAATGGCAGGTGCAGCAGGCACCACTCCAGGCACCAGCCTTTGCTTCTTATGGGAAGAATGAACGACCTCGGCTCGGCTCGTTGGGAAGGCCCTCCATGTCTTCTTGAAGCCTTTGGGTTGGGCCTTGCTGCCTTCTCTCCTGGGTCATCCTCTGCCTATTCCACCCCACCCAGTGACCAGGCTGGCCTGATGAGTCCCCCATTCTTGTCTGCAGACCCCTTTACCCATGGAAAGTTAGTGCTCTGTGGAAAAGCAAGGGCTGTGGGGACTGCCACAGTCTCACTTTGTCCACCCGGGAACTTCCGCACTGTCCTCTACCTGAGCATTATGGGGACTTCCGGTTGGTTAAAAAAAAAACAAAAACAAAAAGGAGAAGGGGCTTGTGTGGGGCTTCCTGGAGCTTACTCTATCCTGGAAGTGGGAGGGACAGGAAGGGGCTCTTAGAGAGGCAGAAGTCAACTAAAGATGAAGCTCAGGTAATCCTGGACCTGCCTCTCTCCTCAACCCGATGGCTCACCCTTCTGCTGGTCCATTGGCAGCCTGGGGTTAGAACAGTCTGCCTCCCACTCTTAGGATGAGGCAGAGTCCAAAGAGAAATCTTCTCTTCTACCTTAGTGCCCATAGGAGATAATTTCTGCTGGAGCAGCCACTAGAAAGAGGTTAGACTTTAGGAAGAACTTCCCAGAGGCCACCAAAAAGGAGATGGCCAAAGACTGGGGAGGTTGGATAGGAGACAGTTTAGCTCAGGGTCTAGAGTCGGACAGCTCTGGGATGCAGTCGCAGCCCTGACAGTCACTCACTGTGTGGTTTTGGGCAAGTTGCTTCACCTCTCTGAAGCGGTTTCCATCTCTGTAGATTGAGGGCATTAACTGGCTTCCTCTCAGAGCGGGTAGCAGGATTAAATGAGATAATTTAGGCAGAGCTCCTGGCACACAGTAGACATTCAATGAATAGTCATTTTTGTCTTCCTCCTCTTCCTCTGTCTGACTGAATGATTGAATGGGAGCCCACCCTCCACTGAGGAAGGGGCATGCATAAGAAATCTCTTTAGATTTTTCTAGAACCCAGATTCTCACTGCAGCCTGTCTGGGGCTGGGCCCCTGGAGCTGCCACTTAGGGCTGGTGGTAAGAAGGAAGCTGGAGCTCCTGAGCCTTCACTCCTGTGCCTCTCACTGCCTCATCCAGGAAGCCCTCTAGGGCTAGACATGTTAGTGAGCATTCTTAGTATTTTCTCCCAGTCCATGTCCCAACAGCTGTTTCTCCCTGTGATGTCCGCGTTTTGGGTAATCGGTGGGAAAATTGGAACTATGAGATTGGCAGGGGGCTGTGAGAATGCCTGTAGCCAGACGTGACGTGGGAATGGATGGGTCTGAGCCAGCCAAGGGAGGGCTGTGCCCGAGTGGGTGCCAGGCCACCGAGTCTCCAGGCAGGAAAGGTCTTACTGCTGCGTGCCCCAGGGTAAAAGGCTAATAGGTATGGCAGCATGAGGGAGATGGGGTAGGTTTAGAAAGGACTTTCCTGCAGGGCCGGGCATGGTGGACAGCTGCAGGGGACCCTGCCTTGGTAGGTTGAGGGTTGGGGGCATGGGGGCAGGAGCTAGGTGAAGGACTTCAGACCGGTCTGGGCGGGGCGTCCTCCTGCACAGCTCCTAGCACATTGTGCACCTAGGAGTGCCTGTTGGGTGGGAAATGCCTGTCTGGTCAACGCAGGCAGGGGAAGTGGGGCTTTCTCAGGGTTAGTGGGGAGTGGAGCAGATGGGAGTCTCTTAGCCTGGGGAGAGGGTTGTCACCAGGGCAGTGATGGCAGGCCTCTCTGACCCTGAACCCATCAACCTTCCAGAATGACGTGACCTTGCAAGAGGGAGGCAGACCGGTTATCATTTGGGGTCTAGGTTGGGCCCCCTAGTAAATCGTCTGCCCCTGTTTCTGGGAGGAGAACCAGGCATGGCTTGTCAGCTGTCTGTCCTGGGAACCCAATTCTGGGGACCCTATGTTTTTTGTGTTGTCCTGTTTGTCCCCCTGTCTGTCTCCCACCAGTGTCTCTGCCCACTCAGTCCCTGCTCTTCCTATGACACCCAGTCTTTATCCTGTCTGTCCTGGGGGGCCCACCCCAAAGGGAGAGCTCTTAAGGCTCTGCCTTGCTCTATCCCTGCTCCCCAAACCATGGCCCATGGCCCTGCCCCGGCCCCGGCCCACTTTGGGAGCCCCTGCCCCAGCCCCCTCCTCTCTCCAGCTCCTCTGCTTCAGCTGGCCCTTTCTGGGTATTCATTCATTCACGACTTTCCTCCTTTCCTGTCCCTCACCCAGGGCTCCAGCGTGCAGCGGGAGGGAAGCCTCCAGGACTCTGTTCCCTCTGTTTAAAGTCTCCAGGTTAGTAAGCCAGGAGGGAGGCCCCCACCATTCCCCCTCCCGCCAGCTCTCCATAGTCAGATGCCCCTCCCCAGCCTGGAGGGCCAGAAACGGGGAGGGGGCTATCCCTGGTGGGCCCAGTCTTTGCCAGGGGAGGGGGCAGCAGATAGCTGACTCTGGGGAGGGCACTCTGGCTGGTAGAGAACATGTCCGTGTGTGCATGTGTGTGCATGAGTGAATGTGCGAGCGCGAGCACAAATGCATGTACATGTGTGTGGGCTGCAACACCACCATGTAAGCAAGGGCCGGGGGGAACCCTCTGCTGACGGAGCCTGTGGCCTGGGGAGAGGGGTTAGGAGCAAAGGGCACCTCTTATTGAGGAAAACTGAGGTTCCAGCAATGCCCAGAGGGTGGAGGAAGGGAGAAGACAGGACCGTTTTATTTAGCTTACAGGCACTTGCAAACTTGTGATCTCGTTTCATTTATTCAATTGTTTGCTTGTTCATCCATTCATCCATTTATTCAATAAAGACTTATTGAAGGCCGGGTGTGGTGACTCACACCTATAATCCCAGCACTTTGGGAGGCCAAGGCAGGCGCATCATGAGGTCAGGAGTTCGAGACCAGCCTGGCCAACATGGTGAAACCCTGTCTCTCATAAAAATACAAAAATTAGCCATGTGTGGTGGTGGGCGCCAGTAATCCCAGCTACAGGGATTTGGGAGGCTGAGGCAGCAGAATTGCTTGAACCTGGGAGGGAGAGGTTGCAGTGAGCCAAGATTGCACCACTGCACTCCAGCCTGGGCAACAGAGTGAGACTCTGTCTCAGAAATAAAAAAAAAAAAAAAGAAAGACTTACTGAACACTTTCTCTGTGCCAGGCACTGAGCTAAGCTTAGAGTCCAGCAGCAACCAAGACAGATAGGTTCCTGCATGCTTTGCTTACGTGGTGAGTTGGAAGATTTCCTGGCTGTGGCGGCCTGTCCTCTGTCTGTCTGTCCCTGCCCCCCTGCTGGCAGCTCCTTTGTAACTTTGTCCCTAAAGAGTGTCCCCTCATAATGTGACCCTGCCAAGCAACTTGGCCTCCAAGTCCGGGGTGACCCTGGATGACTAAGGGCAACACTATTAGGCTGCTTCTGAGGCCGCTGCAGAGGACATCAAGGAGCCTGGCTGGAGGAGGGGGTGTGGGTGGGGGAAGCCACCCCTGCACATCTGGGCCCAGGACCTGCAGCCTGGAGCACTGGACTTTAGAGTCAGCCTGCCCTGGGTTCAAACCCCCACTTCAGCCATGTCCTAGCTGTGTGACCTTGGACAAGCCACTCTCTCTCTCTGAGCCTCAGTGTTGGTGCCTGTAAAGTGGTACAAGAATACCTCCCAGGTAGCATTGTTGAGAAAAGTCAAGAAAAAGTAGTGACAGGCCCACAGCATGGGCTGCCTAATTGCAGGTGCCCTTTGCATCCCTAGCTGCTGCCCGGGGTTGGGTAGGCCATACCCTGATACTATCTGGTGCTGCCCTGCCTTCTCAGGAGAAGGGCTGTTTTCAGGTTCCATGTCCTCCAGCCCTTCTCCAGCTCTCTGAAGTGTTCAGCTCCAATCCAGGTGGGCAGCTGGGGGAAGCAGCTCTCCTTGCCACCATGGCTGCTGCCGCTTTGATGGCTTTTTAATAACTTTGCTCTGAGACAATCTGCAGAGCGCTCATTTGTCTGCCTCTTAATTAAAATTACCGTTTTCCTAAAAGAGCAATGACACTGCTCCCCCGCTCCCCCATCCTCGGCTGCTAGGAGAAGCTGGAAACGAGGAGGGACTGGAGATTGCAGCTCTTTCCCTCCTTCTGGCTCCCGTGAGTTACCCCCCAACCACTTCCCCACACAGACAGCAGAGGGGCCAAGCTCAGGCTGCAGTGGGGGCTCAGGGGCAGTGAACCAGGCAGAGGGGCCCAGGGCAAGGGCCTCTGAGACCTGAATGTTCTTCTCTTTCACCTGCCCTCTTCTGGAACATCCCCAGTGATGGGGAGCTCAGTGCCTTACAAGACTTACTTTCTACATCTGTAAAAAGGTGAAGCAGCCCCTGTCCTGGCTTTATCAGCCAGAGCAGAATAAGACATGGATGGGTTCTGGAAGAGTGTGATAAAGGTTACTGAAATGCCTGGTGAGGGTAGAGGGGTGGGAGGCGGGCAGCTACGTGCTAGTGGACCCTGGGTCAGCCCCTCACTGTTGACTCTGGTTTTGGTTAGAAGAGACCTGTGCTCCCTCTGTGGGCTTTCAGAGGATGGGCTCATTTAGTCATGGCTGAGTTTTGAGGAAAAAAATTATCGCCGCTAATGGTGAAAACACTGCTGGCCGGTATTTATTGGGTGCTTTCTGGGAGCCACCTGCTGGGTCATGCGCTGTACAGGCATTAGCTCATTCCATTCTCACAGCTGCCCTGTGAGCCCAATGCTGCTGTCTCTGTTTTGCGGGGGAAGGGCCAGACAGACCTGAGGGTTTAAGTAGCATGTCTGGGCTCAGGGAGATAGTCCCAGTGCTTAGCAGGGCAGCCTCAGCCCCACACCCTCCGCCCTCCCCTCTCCTCCCTCTGCCTTCGCCTGAAGCTTTGCATGGGTCTCGCCTCATTCCCGCCTGCACCTTTGCCTCGCTCTCTGCACTCCGGAAGCAGGGCTCTCTGTGGCCCAACATCATGAAGAATTGATGCTGGGATTCATCACCTTCCTCCCCGACCCCGTTCCTCCTGAGGAGTCTGTGCTGCAGCCAGGTGGGGCCCCTACCCGCCCACCTTGGGTCTGGCCTTCTCCCCCATGGGCCTTTGCCTCTGCGGCTTGGATTGCCTTTATCACCTCCCACTTCTGCTCCTCCTTGAAGTACCCTTCCCCTGACCACCACCTCTGGGCTTGCCCCTGGGATCTCCCGGAGCACCATCAAACCTCTGGTGGCTCCTAATGTGACCTTTCTTGAACAGTCACCAGTTCTGGACATAATTAAGCCCACTAGCCTACTTTTGCTTGTAGGGGCAGCAAACTCAGCACCTACATCTAAAAAATGGGGTGCCTGGAGAGGCAGCAAATGAGGGGTGCTAGGAAATGTGGGGACTGTGGTGAGGAGAGGGGCGCTTTCCCGCCTCTGCAGCCCGTACTGCCTTACCTCACTTTCTGTGCTCCTTAGAGGTATTACAATTCAAAGAAATAACACCAAACACCACCAGCCCCTCCCCCCAAAAAAAAGCCTGTGCCTCAGTCAGTGTGGCCACAGTGTGATCCTTGCTAAATCATCTCATTCATCTTGGCATCCCCATATTGCCTAACACATAGTAGCTGTGTATGAATTGTTTGTTGAATGACTACCTAACCACATGTGTGCCACACACTGTGCTAGATACTTTACACATTTATTTCCATCTTCACAAGGGAGGCACTATTTTCGCCATTTTGCCATTGGGGAAACTGAGGCCTGGAGAAGTGAAATGACTTGTTTAAGGTCACACATATGGGAAGTGGCCAAGGTGAGATATGAGTCTTGGCTCACTGTGTCCTTCTGCCTGTTCTCTTTGGTCATGGGGGTGCCTACATGGGACACGTGGCCCCTGCTTTCAGTACCTCGGGTAACAGGAAGCACTTGTGTGGCTGGTGACCACCTGGCTGCTATGCATTGCTTACCTTGAGGAGGCACGGTGGGGAAGTGAGGGCTGCAGAGCCAGGAAGGGTGCGGATGCTCCTCACCCCAGCATGCCCCTCCTCCCTCAGCTTCCAGTCCCATCCCAGCAGCCTGGGGATGGTGGTGTGGTGACAGGTGCCGAGCTGCAGAGATGACAGCACTGCTGATTCCCCCATAATTACCGTCTGATGAGACACCAGAATTAGCCACTGTGCAAGCATGGGATGCAGACGTGGGGTACTCGCAGGGAAGCAGCTGAGGGTGGGGGAGCCTCTCCTTCAAGCCTGGGGCCTGCTGGCTGCAGGATAGGGTCAGCACTGGGAGGAGGAAGTAGGTTAGCAAGGAGGAAGTACTGTGTGGTTAATATGCCTGAGATATTATCATGTGGGCTTGGGGTTTTCCAGTTCTCAGGGTGGCTGACTGCCAGATGGGGGCATCCAGGGCCTCAGGCCACTAGCCAGAGAATTCCAGGCAGAGCAGGCTGCCCACTCAGACTCCTGGGCACACCTTTTGGTGTCTGAAGCTGGAGCTCTGAGGGGCGTAGTTGCTGGGAAGCGCTAAGATTCAGACCAGACCCCTCAAGGGCCATTAGCAAGGCCAGGCACCAGAAAGCACATGGAAGTGACTGGAAGGAGCAGTTTCAACTGACTGGACCAGGAACTTCACCCATCCCAGGTGGGAGGAGTCGGGCTGGCCCCTGAGGTCTGAGGCTGGGGGAGGCCTAAGAGTTAGGAGCGGGAGCCAAGGAAGGCCCGTGCTGGCCCAGGAGAAGGACTCTTAGGCCCTGCGCATTTGTTCCTCCTGACACATGTACCGTGGGCAGGAGGGGCACTAGCGAAGGCACTTTAGTAACAGAAGCAGAGAGGAGGCACCTGAGCTGCTCAGACCTCATCTGGACCATTGGAGCAGTTCTGAAGGCCACCGGCCAAGAAGGGTGGTGACAATATGGGGTTTACCCAACAAAGGGTGTGCAGATGGCCAGGGGGCTGGGCCACACAGGAAGGACCTGAGGGCTCATGACAGAAGCTTCCGGTTCAGGAGCCTCCACTCTGCTCCACAAGGGGAGGTCATGACCTTCCCCCAGGTTCCTCTGAGGGCCCTGGGCACAGACTGTGGCTCATTTTAAGGAAGTAGGAAGATGATTGGTGCCCTGGATGTAGTGAGTTCTCCATTCGTGGAAGTATCCAAGACCTGGCTGGCTGGAGCTCCTCATCTGCAGTTCTGTCTTCGCACAGCCTGTGGCAGGGGCTGGGAGGGCTTCATATCCAGCGCAGGCATGAGAAGGCTGGGAGGAGGGCTGTGGAAAGGAGGGTCCCCCAGAAGGTCTTTCAGGACTGTGGGACCCCCTTCCAGCCTGGGTTTCTGTGATCTAGGG